TTAATTAAATTTCTCATTTTTCTTCAAAATGCCCTGTTCTAGTGGATTGGCTGAATCCTTCACAAAGTCTTCGGCAACAAGGCATCGACGAAAAGGAGGTTCTGCTGCTCAGACGAAGATATTTCTTCTCGGACATGAATGTTGATGCCAGAGATCCTGTTCAGTTGAACTTGCTCTATGTTCAGGTAGTCTTTTTCTCCTATGATGGACTTGTCGGAAACAGTTGAAGTCGTTTAATTTTCATTTACTTTGGGCAAGTCTCTGACACCTATATCTGCTGTCCTTTAGTAATATTTTCTCATATTGCTGTTTTTCAGACAAGATCTTTCATTGCGGAATTCTTTGAGCAGAAGAGACAGCAATTAGCTAGAATAAACCTGCTTATCATGTTAATTTCGGTTGCGGTACTACATTGGCACTACTGCGCCCTGTATGCATGGCATTAGATCCATCGGCCAAATTTCATCCATAATATGTAGATAATCTGGGTTTAGAAAAATCATTTAGTGTACTGGTGCTGGCCTATCTTTTATTTCGCTATATATATATATATTAAATATCTACTGAGTCTTGAAACCTAATTTACATTAATATAACTTTAATTTAAATCTTTTACAGAAGGTCGCCTCAGCTGTTGTCTGAATTTTTCTAATATAAAGAGCCAATAGTTTACCAATATTTTTAATTTTATCGGTCATACTGATCAAAATATGGGCTTCTGGTGACGGACAAAACCCTTTGACATGCTACAACTCACCGTAAACTCTGACCCCGACAGTTACGTCCTTACATACCATCCGTCTTACAAGAGGCATCTTTAGAACGGCCAGCATTTTCAGAATTACCTTAAAATAGTGAAGATGTGAAGGTTAACGACAAAAAGCTTTCTTTTGATTACATTCTCTTATAAATTTAAAGAAGAATATTTTTTGGTCCTGGTGATGTGTCCTGGATAATATAATGCTTTACATGCTTTCAGCAAAGCAGCAGAACTGTGCACAAATACAACTAAACACATTTTGATGATTTTTTAAAGAAGGTATCAGTAGCATAAAAAATTCGTCAAATGATTCCTCTAGATTCTGATCTGCTGATTGTATTTTTCCTGTAGATACGAAGATAAACTGGGTTTTGATGAATCTTCTGAGACAATATTGTTGGAGGTACTTTCATTTCGTATGCAAGTGCATGAAAAGGAGATTAATAGGTCGATCTCACCAGGAGGTGAAAGTTAAATCCCGTTGTACTGCAGCCATTTGGCTTTTATGCGACTTTCAGGTTGACCCAGTCCACATGACCTCCTCCCTTGTTTCGGGTGAAAACTGGCTGAGTTTTGTCTATCATATGATGGACGTCATCAGAGTTGGGTATCATTCCTGTAAAAGTCTCACGCTAACACTAGGGCAAGAAGACTTTCCGGCTCTATTTTACCTCTTATATATACTCAATTAAGTCAAAATAAAATTAAAAACCTAGATAGATATCTATCTATCTAGGCGTCAACCTGAATGTCGTATGAAAACCAAACGGCTGCAGTACAACGGGATTGATCCTTCCTTTTCTGGTGAGATCGACCTAAGAATCTCTTCTTCATGCACTTTCATACGAAATGAAACTCCCCCCAATGATGCATTTTGCCTGTCCCCGAAATAAGTAACTTCTCAATCTTCTCAAAGAATATTCCCTCTAATCTGTTTACATCGTTGGCTATAATACATTAAATTTTTAGTGATTTCTCATCACTATTTTTTCATAACTACAAGCTGTCATTTTAGAAATTAATTATTTAATAGTATTTAAAAGCATTCATTCCTCACCTTACTTAATAAGAAAACAAAATTAGATCTTGCTTTTGGAAACCATACGAAGATTCATCTATTTTTATCAACTTGGGAAAAAATGTTGCAAGACAGTGAGTCGAGGAGGACTCGTTCGCACAATTTAACATTCTTCACTCCGAAGCGATCCCTCTTCAGTTTCCTCTGGGCCAATTTACGATCCCTTTCAAACAACTTTTCCATCAAAGTGAAAAGTCGAGTCACATTAAAAATGGTCACTTTTATCTGCCCTTATTATTTCAGCTTAAGGATGCCATCTTGAATGGAACCCATCCTGTGACTTTGGAAGAGGCAGTAAACCTGGCTGGCATTCAATGTCAGGTTCAGTTTGGCAACTACTCGCCTGAGAAATTTCGCATTGGATTTCTAGAGTGAGCCATAATTTTCATTTTGTATCTACTACTTGTTTTCGATATTACTATTGTAACCCCTTTTAGTTCATGCTTATCGTCTTCTGCATCCACCCATTCATCTATCCATACATCCATATTTATTTATTTATTTATTTATTTATAAATAAGGCTTTGCATTAATCAGGGATAATTCAGATAATAAATGTAAAGACCAATATAATATGGTCTTAAGTTTGGCCGCAAGTTGGCCAAGGGATTGACTGCACTTGTTTCTTCGACGAGTTGTAGCTTGGTTGCTGAGAGTGGCAAGACTCACTGACGATGCCGACTACGATGCAAGCGAAACGTCTAGGAATGTACCAAGTGCACAGTATGACTCTGTAAATTATCATGTATACTATGAAATACGGACAAGGAAAGGCATGACTGGGGCTGCATAATCTGGCGCGTCTGGTTTGGTTGCTGAGCCTAATCTAACATGTTGGACGAGTGTGAGTAAAGTTAAAACCATCACTTAGCAGACAAGTTGAGTCGCCTTTGTGATCGCGGCTTAATACCCTCTCTTTCATATGAAGTTCTTACTCAGCTTTCTACCAGCGCTCCTCACATGCAACGTATTCCTTAATCTATTAATTTTAATAGCCTCTCTTAAATTTCTTTTAGCCACAGATCTACCATACTGCCTAAACCTATTAGTTTGAGACTATTCTCTCTCAAGCCCAGTCTATGTCATTTCTTCGGCCACTTCCGACAGTTGGACCCAGCTTCCTTTGCGACCATTTTTGTGTTCCATTAGTCTTTGTTGAATAGGTCGGCATGTCTCACCAACATAACATC